ACTTGAAATTTACAACGTTCCTGTGGCTGAATTATTGTCCCCAGTCACTCCCGAAGGACCCGCCCGTTAAACGAAGACCTCCGAATCGAGCACAATTAATATTTGGCCGCGGTAACCTTCGATTACTTTGCGAAAATCCCTTGGAAAGGACTTGTTCCGTGACGAAACCTATCAATTTTCCGACCGTCTGCTAGCTTACAATCACGGATTTGCGAACGATCGATTTAAAAGTTCCTTGCCATCTCTATCGACGATAAATCACCAGATACATTTAGAATCGCACTAGCAATGCAAATATGACTGTGATCGAACATAAATCATGACAAAATTACGCAAAAGATTGATAACGTGATTGTATTTATTTTCGCTTATGCCTCCGATAAACATTCTATATTGAAAACTTCAATCATAAAAAGTCTTGTGAATGTCAAAAGTAAAAAAATTACCTCTTTAAAAATAATTTTATTAAATGTTTAAAACTTTTGCAAGAAATAAATTCTAAGCTTGAAAAAAATATTTACCGTATAAATTTGATACTGTAAAGATGGGACATTTTTGTATACTTTTTGATATCAAACTGTTCAACTATAAATGTTCTTCCATAGCTCTCTATGTTTTTCGCAATGGGAAAAATTGTTACTGCGCTGGATAATAATAAATCAAATCTTTTTCGATAGCAATAGCTGCAAGGTACCGATAATATCAGAATTGTCGGGATTACGGACGGTCATTTGTACTGAGGGCCGATCGTGCGCTATTGACCAATCATGATCCTCGATTGGATGTGACATCATAAAAAGCACAGAAGCGAAACGACACTTATGGCTCGCGGAAAATTGTCCATCGGGTTGAATGAGAGATGTCCCGCGGATAGAACAAAATCCACGTCATTTTGACGTGTGAGTAAATGCAACAAATCTTAGAAGAACGTGTCGGGAAAAATCTCACTCTTGCAACCATATATAAATTGGATCTATTCGCGGAAAAAATGTAACGATATCAAAAATAAGATAATTAATATTCCTATTTGTATCTTATTTAAAGAAAAATTCTTATAGTTTTAATAATCAAGAAAAAAATATTTAAATAAACAAGAACAAAATTGTATGTGAATGCAAATGAATAAAAATGCTTTGTTATCTCGCCGCTTATATAATAGAAAATCCTTAAAAAAGCCTAGTATAGAACGTAAGAAAATTATGAGGCTATCACATTTCGTAGGGATAATCTTAGAAAATTAATGCAGCAAGTCAGGAATATTTTGCAGGCTATTTAAACCTACTGTTACTTGGCATTCGTCGTGCGAATATCTCTATGCCCAAAAGAGACATTCGGTATTTTCTTTTCGTTATCGGTCATTTCCGCGGCCACACTTTAACTCCGCGCTAAATCAGAAATGCAAATTGTTTGTCAAGAAGTTTGTCTCGCAGTATATCACAAGATGCATTTATTATATATATAATAAAATCATAAAATACACATGTTTTATAATTGTATTAATATATGTGCACTAATATTTTACAGTAAAATTCTGTTCCGCAAAGATTTTCCATTTACAAGAAAGAAAATCATATAAAAAAATATTTTCGAGACTTTTTAGTCTGTAGCCATATTTTTGGACATATTAATAAAACGAGAAAGAATAAAGAGAAGAGAAATAGGAGCCGCAATTTACATATTTTCATTATATAGGCTGACAATATAGCCTACTGCGGTCCTAACCGCAGTAGTAATACATACATAGTACCTTTGCATGCGCGTTACCCGGGAATGTAAATTAGCGAACAAAGTTCAGTCCGCCGCAGTCGGCAGAGGACAACAAAACATTTCGATCCAGTTAAACAAAAAATATAACGTGTTACGTATGCGGAGTACATAGCGCAAAAAAATGAGAACGCGAGGATGTCAGCAAAGCGTTTCGCTTGTAAGATTGACAGCGTGGTTTTGTGAACAGTCACCGATGTCTTTGTTGTATCATACATAGACAGAAAAAGAAGAAGAGATAGAACTTAATGTCAATCCCATTTTAAGCATAAATTCCTGTTGAATCGTTCAAGTCAAACCAAAATCCAGATTAGAGCAACAAATTAGCACGTATAATTATCGTATAAAATTAATAGGTGTGATTTGATTTAGTAATGGTTATGTTTATGATTTACCGCGAATTTATGTGAGAAGATCACACCTTAATATACACATGTGTCATGTATGAACATAGTTGAATGCTCTTTCTTGTGCAGAGCAAGCGAAAACGAACATCGCCCCGCGGGCGGAATGTCACGTCGTCGCGTCGGTCGCGCGGCAACAAAGGCATCTCCCCATCTGGGATCCTGCGGTGCTTTGCGCATTTTTACGATTTTACAGGAACTCGGATATATACGATCCCTCCGAGAGATCTATGCCGAGCAAATCGGTTAACGACGTCAATTTGGGTCGAGCGTCGTCGCGTTAATGTGACCAGCGTGTTAATCGGTACGAAAAGCGGCATCGTTTGTGTCGCTATCTGATGCATTCCAACGCAAACTTGGAAAGTATTTTCTTACGAATAATTGTTGACATTTATGTGTCAAAAATCATCAAAATTTTTCATAAAAAATATAATACATTTTAGGTAAATTTTTTGCACAAAGGACGTATGTTTTTCATTCAAAAATTTGCATATAAGACTGATGATAATAAAACAGAGTAGCTCTAATGATATGAAATTCAATAAGCGCAGCCCTTGAGATTTTTTTAGCTTAACGAATATAATAGAAAAAAAATGCAAGACATTTTATCCAATCTTTTTCTCAATCATTTACACACTGCAAAGACATGAGAAATTAATTAAATAATAATTAACTGTATTCATTTTTTTTTCACTCGTGTAGAAGCGTTCTTATAGCTTCAATATGCAAGAAAAAAATGTCCTTAAATTTTACTTTCTAATTAGTCGTGAAAATATTATTCAATAAATTGCAAATATTTTAATTCGTATTTTTCGCCCTTGCTAGAATAAGTATTGACAAAATAATGTTAATACACATACATATTATCAGACCGCATAGTAACAATTGATTGATATGCGACGTGGGAAGTGATGTATGGAATTGTAGTTTCGTCAAATATATACTCGCGGGAAGAAGCCTGCCATCACGTCGCGATCACACACGGAATGAATCCGGTTGAACCATCTCTATCTATCTCTATCGATTTTGACACGTCAGTCTCGATCGACGTGTGATTTATTCGGAATTTCGAGTAAGTATGAAAGACATTCGTCACCTGAGATTCAATGGATTAATGTGGTAATTTTTCTTTTTTCTTTTGTTTCTGTTTCGTTAATTCAGATCAAGGTAAAAAAAGCGATTTAGCTAATTATCATAAATATGTTTGTGCAGAACGCGCTGAACGCTCACACGTGTATAGGAGATGTTCTTGTTAGATATTCCGACAATCACGCGAATACAATCGCGCAATTCAGAGCATAATTGTTTTAGCATGAATTAATAATAATATATCTCTTGAATCTCTCTTGATTCGGGTTAATTATTCGCAATTTTCCTTGTACTTACATATATACATATGTATATATCCGTTCTACAAATACGGCATCGTTCTGATTAATTCTAGTTAAGAGAAAAAGAAAATCCGGATCGGTCGATATCGATCGGATGCGGAAGGCGTCGACGAGGCGGAACTGTCCAATACGTACGTCAGCTGCATTCACACCTTCAAACTTGTCCCAAATACGAATGTAGGTCGGGTCAGCTGCAGCAGCATCCCTGACATCCCGTCGGGGGTTACTCCGGATAAATGCAGAGAGTGCGTATTGGTCGTACAGCCGCGGCGCAAAACGTGCTTATATTCACGAGAGAAAGCGCTGTCGGCTGTTATTGCACCAATATCGAATTCATCATGTATATCCAATTTACGTCCCGGTTGGTATAATATTGGTACTGGGATATTGGTGCATTGAAATATTTAAGAACGATTTGCGACAATAAATGTCATTTAATTCGCAATCGACGCGATCCATTTGCATCAACGATATTTTATGCGCTCTCACTCGCCCAATGAGCGTAAAGTAGCAATGTCACTGTTAAATGTATCGCGATTAAACGCTTGATTAATATGCGAGAACGGTTAAAGCTATGAATTAAATGTGTTTAGGTGTATGTATATTTTAAACGTGTGTACACACGCGATTACATCACGCTCTTTTACCACAGAGACACATTATTTTAAATTGTAGATAAAGTTAATTGCTTTGCACTCCGTATCGGGGATAGGAATACGTGTATAAAAAGAATATGTATGGGGAGAAAAAGTCACCAGCCAGAGATCCAGAATGCATCTCTATATATTTGCATAACGGAAAATCAATCGTAGTTTCACCACATCGAGAACTACTTTGTAACATTCGCTTTGAATACATTGCGGTTAAAGCGAAAAGCGTTGCTACTCGCGGGTTTTTGTTGTATATATTTTCTATCGCGTTGAAAAACGATTCGAGAATAACGATTTTTCTCTGTTTTATAAGAGAATGTCAATCACTTTCAAAAGTTATTTTAACGATGTAGTATAATTTTGTTCTTGGCATCGTCATTCTATATTCGACCTGACTGTAATCGAGCGAAAATATGCGATGTTGAACATAGAATCGCGTCACTAATCTATTTTTTTATTGGTAGCACGCTTTGATCAATTTAAAATTCAATTCGGTAAAATCGATTTTTTGATAGGAACGGTTTTCGCATCTTTGCATATTAAAATTTATTTATTTATTTATTATTAGCACAGCTTTTATTTTAACCTAGTTTATTTTAAATATTTCAATTAAACATAATCCACTGATTCAATTTGTCCTATTTTTAATTCAATTTGTTATTTCAGAAAATTCAGTGACAGTGTTGGTTGATAAGATTTATTATAGCAAACATATGAGAAATAAAGATGACGAGAATTATTTTGAGAAAGATATTCTAATGCAAGTTAAATTAATATTCAAAAACACTCACCTCAAGATTACAGATTTTATATTTGGTGGTCCAGGCTCTGCCTTTGCACGGTTTACGTCTGCATCGACGCTGTTGACGCGAGATCCCACCACCGCACGTCCTAAAAAAAGACAGGCGGAAATATTTATCGGTGAATTATCAACTGAATAATGACTGCGAATTATTTTTGACCGCACTTCAACCGCGCATCTTTTCCACGCACGCTTATCCCCAATAAACTTTTAATCAAGTCGCGCTGAAATCGTCAAAACTTTAATTACATTTCACCGCCGCGTGCCGACGCGACACACAATTAGTTAATTCAATTTTCACCACTTCACGCTAATTCCACGAGCGATCTTTATTCGCTGGAAAATTGCATTATTTCCTACGAGTATATAAGTTAGTTCCACACTCCGAGATTGGTGCAAAACATACTTGCTACTAAAATGAAAGTGTCATTCATTTATAATGTTAAGTGTTCTTGCTCAATCAATACGTTAAAACCGAAAAAGATTTCAATTGCAGTTATTTGAAATATCTGTTCCAATGTAAAATCGAGTAGTCTTCTAAATTATGAAGTAGCATTAAGCAGATATAGTTCTCTAAAGCTGTAAATAGAAGTAGATTCAGAAGAGACGTATATGTCAAAGTGATAATGTCGTGCTGGGAAATTTTTAGAAACGATTTGATTCGAGAAAGAGAGGGCAACATAGCTAATGGATGGAAAACGATCGTAAAGTAGAAAAATAAGCGCGAGGTGACAGAGTATTCTTAATTTGGCAGAACGCGAATAATATCAATGGTTAAAAAGCAAAAACTCTCCATATATTCCACTTTACATACATAAAGCCCATTGTTTGTACGTAAAAACGAATCAGTGGATTATTTATAGCAGTTATAAATCGATCACGACTTGGATCTAATTTTAGAAAAGTTGATACCGACTGCATTATTATATACAAAGAGTAATTATCTGCTTTGAACAATAACTGATGCGCAAACAATTAGTTAATTGGAATAATAATACATGGCATACATATATTATATATATACTGATTAATTTCAATTGTTGAAGCTTTGTAATTACGTAAATATCGAGATACAGTTAAAATTTTTAATCTGTTCATAAATAATGCATCAAGCACAATGTGCAATGTAGCCTATATCCTCTATTATTTATCATTATATTAACTTTATAACACTAATTGAATAACCTAAAGGCTGTGTATTTATTATATATGATAATAAGTTGTTACGGGCAGTGTATTATCATTTTCAGTAATAAATAAAATCATATTGTACAATCACATTAATTACATTATCTACAAAATCTACATAATCGCGTCATCAGCGCGCATGCTTCTGATTAGCGGTAACGCAGTAATTGAGATTGTAATGGAGACGAAGAATATGTACAGGTAGCGTACAGAAACATCAATAAGTAGAATGCTGTAGATCACACAATAAGCTTGCCCGGCCAAGTGTAGTTCGCAAGTTGTAAGTGCCATAAATTGCTACGTCTCGCAGTTCCAGCCACTTCTGTATAACTGAAAAACGAGCGGGGTGAGAGTTGAGAGAGAACAAACTTATTGCCGGTGGTGGCCGCCAAAATGAGTTCCGGAACGCTTAACATTCCGGCTGCGTTACCCGGCAGGAGACTCAATATTAGAAACCGTACGAAACACAGGCGATGAGAAATCGCGGGAATTGGATCATGTCTTGCATGCGAAAGACCGATCAGATCGTTGTGCTGGAAGCCCTTTTAGTCGCGCTGTTACCAAACAATATATGTGGCACGACGAATGTAGCATTTTTCCTATCGACCGAGTTTGTTTTTCGAATACGATCTCTTGATCGAGAAAAACAGAAACTTTTGTCTCGCGTGTACACAGATACGCGTTTTATTAGAAATACTTTATTACGAAGAGAAAATATCAGATAATGATAGAATACGATATATAGTAATTCTAGAATACATATCTTTTTTCATGCTTGTAATCATTTGTGTCGATTTTAATCGCAAAAATTATTAAAATACATTCTATATGATTGTAATTATATGATGATATAAAGATAAGATTTTCTTAGGACACTGCAAAATTTTATTAAAATTGAAGCAATATGTTTACTTACCTCGTACATGGCGACCACTTCGACCATGATGACCATTCTCCCCAGCCAGCGTTCTGAAAGATAAAATAAATCAATTAAGTTGATATTTTTATGCATTAAGAATATATTAAATTAAAAATGACGCAAAAGTATTTATCGTATAAGAGACACTCCATTTACTCCCAAGTTTTATTTAAAACGTATTATACATTAAATTTTATGTTAGTATCATTAGTATGCTCATTTATGCGCTATCTCGATTATCTCGCAATGACATACGTTCAATGCATATTTAAAGCGATTTTTCTCCGTAACGACGCTTTGTCTGAGAGACATTATTCCGCGGGCTTGACTTGTTTCCCAACGCGCCATTGCATTGCCCCCATTACAACCCCCTGTCTCCTGTTGTCGAGACTTTTATTTCGCTCATAAATGTGTCATCCGAGCCGACTACCAGCAGTAATCGACGTCTGTAATGGTCTCCTAGAGTGGAAACGTAAAACGCGCTTCAGACACTCTGACGCCTTTGCGTATCGATCGCCTTATTCCGATCAATAAGTTTGCAAATATATATGTGCGATAGAAATTTGACCAGTCACGCATCCGTTCGTCGAAATTCTCGGCACGTCTCCGCGCCTAAAACAAGCAGATTTCGAAAATTCACTTCCGCCATGCGGAACCGTCCTGACAAATTCATGTTCTGATCTTTTATAGTTTATAGTAAACGATCGATGGTAAACGTGCGCCGATTTCGGTCTATCCAGGAATCACGAAAGAATATGAATAATAGATGAAAAGATGTGATTTGATCAGTAACGTTTTATAAATATCTTTATATATTTAACAAGTTAATTTAGTAGAAATGGTTTGGCCACTAAAATTTCTATTTTAATATATTCCGAATATATGTATATAGAGAAGATAATAATTTTATCCTTTTAAAATACTCGAATAATATATCTGTATAAATAATAATATTTTGTTAATATATTTACATAATTCATATTTTATAAATATCTCCAATTTGGGATGATTATATTCTCACGCGCCAGTCATTCGATTCGTATACAAGTAGATAAAAATGTCCAAATTAAAATATTTTACTTTTAATCATAGGTCTTTGAAACAAATATATCTCTCAAAATGGCAAGCGATATACGAGCAGAAATTTTCCTGTCGATCGATTTCGCTTCAATTGCGCTTATTCCTTACTCACAGTTTTGGATAATGAATCGTTGTATCGGTTTTTCAGTATAAAAAAAAAACGATGGAAAGAACAATTAATCCTTTTTATCCGAGAATTCGCCCATTTTCCCCTTCCTTCGTACCAACTCTTACATACATACATCACACACGAAGGGAACGAGAGAGCATTTCGATGTGTTACGTTAAAGGCTACCGGCACTTTCCATGAACTCCGACTGTGAAATTTATTTCCAAGGTGCTTCTTCGTGCTTCATTCGTTCACCTTTCTTCCACTGTCTCTTTCATTGCACCACGTTTCACATCTACTCGCGCGCGCTTTTCAACGCTAGAAGGTGAATTATAGAAGACCGAAGCGATAGATAGGAAAAGCAGGGATATGGCGAAAGAAAATGTGAAAGTCAAAAGGGCAAAATGACGAGATAGAGAGATAGATAGATTTAAAGAGAGAAAAAGAGAGACGTACAGGTGGCAACGAGGGAAATGTAAAATCGTTTCGACAGAAAAAGGCAGAAAGCTTTTAACGTGATTTTAACGTTGGTTGTTTTATTCAGATTTTTGCTCGATGAATAATGATGGCGAGTCGAACGAGCTGTGTAATTGTCATAAAAAATCATGGACGGAGATTGCGACTAGTTTGTTGTAGTGCTGCAGCTCGAACATTGCACACTGAATTTTCAAAATGCACTTCATCGGCTATTATCTCGTTTATCTTCTCCAGTTCGCAAAAAATTCATTCCCGATTTCCATCCACGACTAAACAAAAGCATATCCATGATTAAATTGTGTTAGTAATAGTACTCAAAGTTATTTTTTGTTTTATTTTTTTCTCTTATAAGACCACGAAAAACATTACAGAATATGTTTTTAGAATTCGTTCGGTTTCTCGAACAGTTGCGCATTTAATGCAAGTACAAAATTATGAGAAAAATAATAAAAGATAATAATAAGAGAAAAATCAAAAAATGATAGAATATAAAATTAAAAAATAAGAGATATGTATAAAGTTATCATATTTGTAAAAGAGAGAAACGAGAGAATATACCAAGAGATACAAAATATTTTTATAAATTCTGCATGTATAAATAATAATGTCTATATGAAAGTGGAAAAATGATAGCATAGATTTCGGCTTTAACTTGAAAGAATGTCTGCAATGCGGAGTTTCTGCCGACATACCACTGCAAACGTAACTGTCATCATTAGTTATAGCGACACATTAAAAAAAAATATATGTATATATTCTTCGTGAGATTCCGATATTTTTCTCTTTTAGTAAATATTTCTATAAATATCTCAAAAAAATTATTCAAGTTTTTCTCGATGTGTTTTTTTCGTGCCAAATATTTCTTTTTTTTCTTTCTTTCTTTTGTGTCAAAATATTTAATTATCTAACTTTTAATAATATATGCAAGAAGAGAAGCATTATCCTAAGATTATTAAAAAATATATTTCAATAAATATAGCCAAATCTCAACTAACTATAATAATAAACAGGCTGAAGATAAAATAAATTTAATTTAAAATAATCATGGAATATCAAGCCCGCAGATTGTATTGCAGTCTAATAAATATACATGTTACAAAAATTGCTATTTCGTTATAATTTTTAATTGAAATCTCTATTCATAGAAAAGCTTCCTCAAAACAAGAAGACAAAATATAAAACGACATAAAATAATATACATAAACAAACAATATATATATATATACAATATAAGGCGTATCGGTTATTATATAAATGATGAAAGACACGGAGCGGAATCTTATGCGAGTTGTAGCAAGAAATTAGGTTCGAATGGGAGTTTAAATAATCGTTTCGATTCCCATCATATCCTCGCATCATCTAGAATTGCGATCTCTGGCGAATTGGCATTGCAAAGGGGAAAGGGGTGGCAGTGATAGCCCGATAGCCGATCTCTCATTCCGCAATGCGGGCTTTCGCCGTGCCCTATATAGGCATGACACTAGCCCAGTCGCTGTACCATTCTAATTTGGCACTTTTATACTCCCCTGGGAGGGCCGATCGTCGGTAGGATAAATCTCGCCCAGAGACCAGGCTTTTATATATATACGGTCGCGTCCACAAAGGACGTTCTTTCCATAATTCCATTCGAACCGGCGCGATGATTACAGGCGCAGCAAAATATGTAAATTGAGCGTAAAAGCGAACGATAGCCGCGAACACGAAATGAATGCGACAATGAAAATGTTAATGTTCATTATGTAATTTTCGTAAATACGATACGAAAAGTATAAAAATATGATAACGAAGATAATAACTTTGAATTAATGGAGAATTATAAATTTGGATCATCAAAATGTCACCTCGAATACGTGTTTTGCGAATATAAACTTTATGAATATAAACTTTGTATAATACTGTTAAAAGATCAACTATCATTTTGACAGACTGAGAATTAATGTCTTAAAGTCTTCTGTGTAAATTCTTATTCTAATCGTAAAGGGAATAAATCTCGACTGGGGTCGTAAATACAGTGTATCTACTCAACGCCTTTTCCGGTTACATAAACATATTACCCGGCTATGTAAATGTACGTGTACATATGTACATTGGAAGGAAACAGGGGAAGGCGAGGAAAATCAGACGGTACGACGAAGGAAGAGGAGAGAGAAAGAGAGAAGATAAGAACGAAGGATCTACTTCGGAAAGAGAGAGAGAGAGAGAGTAACAGGCTCACTATTCCCAATTCCCACCCAATCTAAAATCAATCTTAGTTCGTACTCTTAGACGAACTGGAAGTGAGATTCTAAAGGGATCGGTGAGACGAAGAGGATATACAGGGGCGAGAAGAAACGATGGAGGGGATGGACCGATCACTTTTAAGCAGCGTTGTGCAAGTCTGCATTATTCAAACTCTACGGCCGAACTAGGCAGCTTCGCGAGCACCCTCCAAGGAACACCCTTCTGTCTTTCCCAACGCCAACCCTTCGTTTCCACATTTCACCCTTCTCCGTCGGCATTTCATCCATTTTCCCCGTGATCCACGATGTTGCATCTTCACACCCTGAGTTTTTTTTTTTTTTTTAACCGCAGCAGATAAGAGCCATTTTCTCTCATCGACTATTTCGATCGCGATATTTTGCAGCTGCGACGATCTTTCATTCAATTTTTATTCGTACGTTTATTTTAATTTTTGCTTCGATTTACATCTCTTCTTTCGCAAAATTGATTGATGTAATGTTATGTTAAATGCGACACAAACATTTCAATTTTTCTTTATATCAAAGGGAAGTGGTTCAAATAAAAATAAAATAATCTCAAATATTTTTTTTTAATTTTGCTAAGATTTTATAAATTATTCATATAAGTAAATCTGAAAAAATATACGCAATAAAGTGTTTGAAATTATTCAATATGATTAAAAAATATATATGTAAATATATGCATATAAAAAATAAAATATAATAGTAATAAAGTAAAAATATATCAATATTATTTTTTCAATATTATTTTTTCAATATTATTTTATCAATATAAATATTACTTTTCCTCAAGTCTACTGATCTTTTACGATCGAATAAGCGTGCCAATTTATTTTAAAATGTAAAGTAAAAGTAATATTAAATGGTGTTATTTTTCATCCAAAGTTTTGTTTAATTAATTTTTTGTTTCCTTAAAATCGAACCGTTTCTCTTCGCAGAGATACTTTTCGAGCATTTTTTTATATTTTCTTTTTTTCCTCTTTAGTCATATCCCAATGGTATCTGATTTATACTGCTGCCGAAGTCAATACCCGCCGTCAATATTCGTAAAATCCCCGATAAAAAGGACGCTCTTTTCCTTTTCTACCCCCTCACGGATTCAAGAAGATATTCTCGGATCTTGGTTTGGCGCTTTTGATTTTCT